TCTTTGTTGAGGCTGAAAGAACTAAAACACAATCGTCTGATAATTGGTTGGCAATTAATATTCTGTAAGGACTGATTGATCCTTACTGGTGTAACAACCCTCATACTGTTTACCGATTAAAGACTGATTGATTACCGATAACCATCGATTACCGTTAAACTGAATTGATTATGATCGATAATTGAACTGATTAAGGTACTGAACTGACTACCCGAAATTGAAACTGAATTGAGTGAATACATCTGTTTGAATTGCATTTTATCTGTTGACTGTTTGTTTTATCTGTTCATGCTTATATGTTTAAACTGCTAATTGAAGGCCATATCGGCGGCCGAATTAGAAACCGATTGATGTTCCATGACCCTCAGAATTAATGTGATTTTATGGTATATTTATCTGAAAATTGATTAGGTATGATTAAATTAGATTAAAGTGAGTTAATTGCAATAGTTGCCTTATTTACCTTATTGCCATTGTTAGTGGGCCCTTATTATAACATGTTAGAGCCTTGGTATGCTTGAATCAAACATTTTGCTCAGCTCATTCTTGCTTTTGCCGACTAGAGGGAGAGAGTTAAGGGAGAGAGTTAGATTTCACCTCTTTTGGCTTGGTTTTGCTTGGAAATTGAAGAAATTGTTAAGGAGATTGCATATTTGAGCTCCCTTCTTGAACTACAAGACTAAAGGTAGCTCCATTGTCTTCTTGTTCATGTTTTGAGTTGATTGTTGCATGGTCCATGTTAGATTGTAGAGCTAAGTCATGATTTGGGTCATTAATGGTGAATTGAAGCTCATTTCATGCATGCATGTTTGAATTAATGAGTTTTGAGTTGAATTCATGGTATAATGGTGCATGCATGTTCATAATTTTGTGGTACCCCATGAGTTCATCTTGTTTTTGAAGGTTTGAGCTCTTTTGAAACAGCATTAAAGCTCTGAAAATGATTTAAGATCATGCATGTCACATTTGAGTTGTTGTTCTTGAAACTTGGTTTGAAATCATGTTTAATTGAACTACCTTTGGGCTTTGATTTCTCAAATTGAGTTTTTGTAAGGAAAAATACACCAGCAATTTATTCTACGAAAGTGAAGATCAAGCTTTGATACCATGGCAATTTTATTGAAGAAATAAGAAAGCTATATATGCACTAATTATACTAACTTGCTAGGGTCCAGCCAATGTCAATCACATGATAGGTTGCCTCATGCTGGTTTCTGGTGGATTTATTAGACATCTTGGTTCAATATTTCTGTATTAATGATAAATATTTTTTATTATTTATTGCTGCAAACTTTTATTACTTATAGCTATCTTGGTAGGTGTAGTTGTTAACTGCTCTATTTATGCTTACACACTTTCTGGGGGTTCAATTACTATTCTTTCTTTTTACTGAAGTTAATTTAGCTTTCCTCAATTAGATCCATTCCTCTTGTGATGGTATAATATTTTAAAAGCAATGAATATTTTTGTTGCTCAATTATCAATCATTGGGTGGTTCTATACTTTTTTTTTTGGGGTTGCATTGTTCTTAACCATTGCTTATTTTTTTATTTTTATTTTGATGTGTTTATGATTATTTCTCAGGTTCAAAATAATTTGTGTACACCAAAAAACGGAGAGATTTTGGTTGCTTCCACACAAGATTTTCTGACATCTTCTTTTCTCATAACAAGGAAGGACACGTTTTATGATCGTGCTTCCTTTTCCCTCATTTGTTCTTATATGGGGGACGGCATGGATCTAGTCAATTTGCCTACGCCTGCATTAATTAAGGTAAGAAAGAGGAGTTGCTCATAAAGCATATTATATATTTTTTTGTATCATTCCTCCATTCTTCTTAATGTTTTCGTTGTGTTCATCCTTTTATTAGGATGAGTTATTGATCTTGGTTTTGTATAGTGAGCGAATCTTGATCTATGTCAATGATTTTTACTAATCATTCAAACTTTGAAGTGATGATATACTATGCTTTGTGTCTCAATGAGAATGGTATATCATGACACCTGACGAATTGATGCAAGTGGTTTAGTTGAAAGCATTAGCCATCATCATAAGAGGATAAAAAAAAGGCATGTATTTACATGGCCACTGTAGATATTGAGTTAATTTATCTAGGATAAAAAAGGCATGTATTTGCATGGCCACTGTGGATCAATAGGGGCTGTCAATGGAGAAATTTTTGGGGATACCAGGCATTTTAAATCTGGGAAGCGACTGTGATTTAGTGACGGTATATGATAAAGGGTTGTTTGTATGATTTATGGTTGTGATTTTGTCAATGAATGTAGGTGTCTGAAAGATGTCACCTTATTTATTTGGTCAAGCATTTTATTGGTTATGTGTATTGTTTATCATTTTTGCTGCCTTTAGCTAAGAGTTTTCTGTAGCAAGTCATTGCATCTTCTTTTTTCAGAAACTCTCTTTGGTGGTCACTGTAGCATGAATCAGAAGACATGTTCACATGATGTGACTATGACTTGCTGTAATCAAACTGCTGTAATTAACAACTTTCTGTGTTTAGTGAAATCATGGTGAGCTTAGTTGCTGTAGAGTTTTTTTTTTTTTTTTTGAAGAAAAAAATCGTTGCATTTACTGCTTCATGGTCATCTACCTGAAGATGCTAACCAATTTTTTTTTGATCAGCAAAGAAAAGAGCTGTATTGATGAAAATCGAGTACAAAACATGAGATAATACATCAATAGAAACAGTGAATGCAAAGAGCATCAAAGCTAAACTATATGATCCTCATTGTCATAAATGATTAATTATGCTTCTTGAAATGACTAGTTTTTATAATAAAACTGAGTTTAAAGCTGATATTTAGTTGATTTTTACACACTCCACTTCACCTATCTCCACTTCACCACACACTCCACTTCACCTAACCCACTATCACCTCCACTACACCTACTACCACATTTTCTTTTATATATAGATTGTATAGGAATTGTAATTTACATCAATATATACGACAATCAATAATCATCAATACATATATTACTACAACATAGCCTTGGGGATTGCATAGTTTAGTATCAGTTGATATGCCTAAAATTTACAATCCAGAAATCAAACTATCCTCTATGCCAAGCAAAGGTTTCAGAATGCATGCTCTTTAGTTGCACCTTCCGTTTCAGTTCCTTATTTTCCGCCTTCAGCACACTTATCTCTGCTCGCGCATCCTTATACATGCGTTGGAGCAGAGCCAGCTGGGAGTTTAACTGCTGCACCTCATTTACCCTACTCTGCAGCCGGTTCGACAAGTTTGTGACCGCCGTCATGCTTTCCACACATGCCTTCAAAGTATATTGATTGGCCTCCACATCCGACTGCACTGCCATTCTTTGCTCCACCGACCGCATCGGAAAGTTCAACGGAGCATACCCAGCGGTGTTTGGTTGAGGTTCCAGTGCCACCACACCAGTTCTTTCTCTCGTTGACTCGTTGAGGTCGGGAAAGAGGGTGAGCAGTCCACGGGAAGACGAGGACGAGGCCATTTTTCTGGGCACCAGAGTGTTACAGCGTATTACAGAGTTTCTCTCTCAGCACAACAGTGTTACAGCCTCTCTCTCTCAGCACAACGAAGAGTTTTACAGCGGATTTCGCAGGTTTTTTTTGCTTCTGCCTCGGCCTCAGGCTTTGTCTTGGTTAAATAGCCGAGGCAGCCACGCGCATCGCGCGCCTCTTGACGCCAGACGACAAACGGGCACGCCAGCCAAGGCACTCCCGTGCCTCGCCATCATATCTGGCACGCCTTTTGATGCATCGGGCACGCCTTTTGACAGATTGGGCACATCTTTTGAGGGCACGACTTTTGAGGGCTCGATATCTTTATCCATGTATATCTTTTGGGCAGCCTATCTACACACTCATACAGTGTCTTCTACACCGGTCAATTTATTTTAAAACTTATACTTACTAATGTGATATGATTAAATGTCTATCGATATCAAATCGAAATGATTTTTTGATGGGATAAGATGAAATGTCCATTGAATTATTTGAATGATCGAGATGGATTTGAATCAAGGCCCACCACTATATTGAACAACATTCTCCAATCTCATGCCGGAATAGAGAGGAGCCAAATCCAATTTCTTTTACCGAATAGATACATTAGGCATCATACATAACAGTAATGTTAGGTATAATGAAAAATCTTTCATGAAAATAATCATGAAAGGTTTGTGACTTTTGGATTACACTTAGAATAAAGTACCACACATTGGGCTTTTTTGGCTATTTTAACCACAAAAAACAAAATAGGCTATTTTAGCCATAACAAACAAAACATCACATCCAACCCATAATCATTACACTCTTCTCTCACAAAAAAAGTCAAAAAAGCCAAAAAGTCCTTCCCAAATCAAACTTTTTAGCCCAGGCTAAAATAGCCAAAAAAGCCAAAAAGCTAAAAAGCCAACCCACTTCCCAAAAGGAGGCGAATCTCTAACTTTTCTCCCATACATAATAGTTACGCCACCCACAACACAGAATATACACAAAAAAAGGACAGAAAGAAAAGATTAAAAAAAAAGTTACATATAATCACATTTTTATCTCATTTTTCTTGTTAATGTAAATTGTAAATAGTAAATCACCACTATCACCCACTCCACCTACCACCTCCACTGCCACCCACTCCACCTACCACTTCACCTACTACCTTCTTCTCTTCTATATATATGATCATTGTAAACATAACACAGAATTCATTCAATAATATCATCAATCAATAATACATAATTTATTCTCTCTGTATCTCTCTCTATCAATTTATCTTACATGGTATCAGAGCTAGGTTAATAACCTAGTATTTTCAATTCATTCAATAATATCATCAATCAATAATACATAATTTATTCTCTCTGTATCTCTCTCTATCAATTTATCTTACATTTCTCATTAGAAGATATGAGTGAGTGAATTTCATATACATTTATGAATATAGATCTTACTGTTCTATGTTTAGCTTCGCTTCACCGGCGGGCGGCAGTCTCGCCTTGGCCGCCCGCCGGACCTCTCATCTTCCAACTATTTCTGCATGCCGGATTTCATCCATCAAAACCAAACACCACCTCGCTGCCGTCATCCACTTCTCCCCCTCTCCTTTCTTCATCTTCTCCGGTGATGCTTCCGGAACAACTCCCACCACTGCTACTGCTACTACTGATTCCACTACTACCAGTAAAATTCGTCCCAGACAAGTTACTGCCCGAGACACTACTGGGACTGTTCGAAGGCGAATCCAAATCACTGAAATGGTGGTGGATCGAACCCTCATTCGTTTTGCCTCTCGGCTTTATTTCCAAATTCTCCATTGATCGGTCACTCCCATCGCGCTCATGTGCCGTTTCTTCCTTACATCCCTTGTTCTTCACTTGGGAAAGCCACTGCTCGCGACGAGCATCGAGCTTGCACTGCTTCAATTTAGCAGATCTGTTTGCCCTCTAATAAACTCCGACAAAATACAAGTCTACCGCGGTCTCGACATCACTACCAACAAGATCCCAATGCACGACCGCCGAGGTGTCCCCCACCACCTCCTCGGCGACTTCCCTCCCCACTCCGACCTCACCCCCTCCGCCTTTCGCTCTGCCGCCGCCTCCGCCATCTCCGCCGTTTCCTAACTCGGCGTTTCGGACTGGGTTGAGGAAGGCGATAGGGGTGCCCGAGTTCGAACCTTACTTCAAGAAGTTGGAATAATCTGTGGAATACTGGAGAAGACTAGTTGGGCAGAATGATAGTCTCATCAGGGAAGAGTGATGAGACGAAAGAGAATAGAGAAGGTGTGTGTGTGTGTTGTTGTTGAGCTGAGCTCAGCAGACATGAGCTGTCCATCTTTTTATATCCACCACATGAACAACCGAATCAAATAATTTCCCACACACACACACACACAACACCCACGTGATTTCCCACTTTTCTTTTCTTTACAAGGGCCACACACACACACACAAAACCCACTTTTATTTTATTATCTACTTCACATACCCACCATGCTCCCTTTCTTTTTCTTTTTTATTATCCACCCATTCTTCCCAATCCATGTGCTCACTGACAGAACAAAACAAAAATAATCATCACTTCCACCACATCTTTCCCATACCCACTATTTTTTAAAACCCATCTTTTCCCCTACCCCATATATATATATATATATATATATCTCTTTTTTTATTATTTTCTTTTATTTTATTGTTTTTGTTTTGTAAAGAGGGGCACACGTCAAATCAAACATACAACAACAACAAAAAAAAAAAACAAAAAAAAACAAACAAACAATTTACAAATTTGCCCAACACTCATATTTTATTCATATCAGGGGCTCC